AATCTGAGAAGATAACTGAGTTGCTGAGGTTGTGCGATTTAATAAATTTGATAGACTCCAGAATGCCAACGCATTCCCCAGTGAACACGGAGGCTTCAGGGGGACATTTGGAGAGCAGAGCAATTCTTGAGTTCTGGTAATATGCTGCCACTCCTGTGCATCCATCTCGGGACAATTTGGATGCATCCGTGTAAAACATATTCCAGCCGTGCCAGTAATTGCTCAGCGCGCGCTCAAAATCACCCTTGGCGTCCACTGATGACTTTGAAATGCCCAAACTCAGAACCAGCTTTGGCCTAAAGTGAATAACCTCATATGCGGAAGAGAAAACCGGAAGGATAGGGTATTGACTGATGGGTGCAGAGAGGTTTTTAAGCTCCCTATACCTAACAATCACGGGTGGGACAGGTTTATTGTTCCAATATGGAGAAGAACCATAGGAACAATGGATTTGCTCAAGGATAGGAAGCAGGGGATGAGAAGAGCGGGTCAGGACTTTAGAAACGAAACGGTCTGCCAGGTATTGTCTTCGAAGGTCGAGGGGGGGCTCTGCACATTCAACCTGAAGAGCGTTTATAGGGGAAGACTTCATAGCTCCAATAATTATTCTTAGGCATTTGGCCTGGATGGAATCTAGCTTTTTAAGTGCTTGCTTATTGCAGGGCGCCATAAGAAAACAGCAATAGTCCATCACGCTTCTGACCAATGCATTGTATACGAGTTTCAGCGTGTAAGGGTGAGCACCCCACCATACCCCAGCTAGTGCTCTGAGTACACACACTGAACGCTCGCATCTTCTAACTACGGCTTCTACGTGGTCTACCCCCGACATCCTAGAATCGAGGATGACGCCCAAGAACCTAGCCTTCCTCATAACTGGAATGGGCTGACCGTCTATCTCTATATGAATGTCTGGAAGGCGACGTCTGCGGGAAAAAATGACAGTTGAGCTTTTTGGGGCGCTTAAAGACAACCCATGATTGAGAAGCCATTGGTGTAATGAGGACAAAGAGACATTCATGGAGGTGGTAGCATCTGTTATAGAGCTGCTAGTGACCATTAATGCGATATCGTCAGCATACTGAAGGACTCTGCAATCATAATTTAGACAGGAAGGGAGGTCATAGGTATAGATATTATACAGGATGGGACTAAGGACAGACCCTGAGGTAAGCCCCTCCAGGATGTTCTCTGTAAAGGCTCATCCCCAGGAGTCCTCAATTGGAGGGTGCGGTTGGAAAGGATGCAGCCTATAATTTGGCAAATCCTACTCGGGATTCTCAGCTCTTGCAGCTTTTGCCTGAGAAGGGGTAGGAGGACCGAGTCATAGGCGGATGAGACGTCCAGAAAGACCGCCACCAACGACTCATCCTTGCTTAGGGCCAGTCGGATGGCTGACGTGAGGGTACCCACACTGTCAGCCGTACCCAAACCTTTCCTGAAGCCGAACTGAGTCGCCGGGAACAGCCCCCGGCCTTCCATCGACCATTCCAACCGGGTCTTTATGAGATGTTCTAAAATTTTTATAAGTATGGACGATAGGGCAATAGGTCTATAAGACGAATGGTCACCAGGATCCTTGCCAGCTTTCAACAGCGGCATAATAACCTGAACCTTCCAGATAGGAGGAATATAGCCGAAAGTAAAACAGAAGTTGACTAAGTCAAGGTAGTACTGTTTGGTTTTGGGTCCTGCTTTCACCAAGAAGGAGTAAGGGAACCCATCGATTCCTGGAGCGGAGTCTTTTACATGGTTTAGAACCATTTGGAGCTCATTCATGGAGAAATTCCTATCAAGCGGGTCACGCGATTCTTCATAATGTCCCAAACAACATTCTTCCTCACCGGGAACATACAGAGGAGCAATTTTGGTAAAGAAACTGTGACTCAGATCGTCAGGCAAGATAGGAGTTGAATTAGGCTTAATTGAATTTCTGAAGCTCTTCACCCTTCGCCAAACTGTTGCTATCGGTGTTGATGGGCTCAGGGAGCTACAGAATCTCTGCCAGCCCTGCCTCTTCTTCTTTTTAAAAAGTTTCCTTGACTTAGCCAACACCTGCTTGAAATTAAGGAGATTTTCCAGGTTCATGTCTCGGTTATATGCCTTTTCGGCCTCATTCCTGGCTCTTATCATGGCAGTGCATTCACTATCCCACCAGGGAGGGGAGGGGATTTTGCCTTTTGGTGTGTTTTTCACAGGGAAACAATCTTCAGCTGTAGAGGATATCAGTTCCGAAAACTTTGAAAAACATTCCATGGCATTCTCAATGTTAATAAGTGGGAGGGAAGAAATGCGGAGATCTAACAATTTAGAATACAGGTCCCAATCTGCTTTTTCTAAACGATATTTTAAAAGAGGGGGGAGGGATTTATCGGGGACAGATTTAGAGAGGTGTTTGATTATTATGGGATAGTGATCACTACCATAGGTCATATTCAAACAGCTCCAATTCAGCACGCTTGCCATATTGGGTGAGCAGAAGGTTAAGTCTACACAACTGCTTCTTTGCCCAAATTCAGACCTACGGGTTGGGCTGCCGTCATTAATGGCACATAGGTTAAGCTCATCTATCATTTCTACAAACTCGCTACCTATGTTGTCGCAGGTATCGGAACCCCATCTATAGTGGTGGCAGTTAAAGTCGCCCATTACAAGTAATGGGCCACTCACTGACATAAGTAAATTTTTAATTATGGCCAAATGATTAGTATTAGGGTGCGCAATATAAAACATAAAAATATTTATATCCTCAGCCTTAACAGCGACAACATTTATGTCATCGCCAACGAAGGGTAGAGGGATCTGGGTGAAGGGTACTTTGTTATTAACTAACAAAGCACATCCTCCATAACCATCAGATCTGTCATGTCTGACAACACTGAAACACGGGATCCCGAAATTGATATTCGGTCGGAGCCATGTCTCAGCAAGTCCACAAATTGATGGTTTGAATTTGTTAATTAGGTGTAGCAAGTCACTCTTCCTGGGAAGAGTACTCCTCACGTTCCACTGGAGAATTGTTAGTAGATGGAATTTTATAAATATAATCTAGGATGGTGGCTAATCTATGGGCAACGTGGTCAGGTACGGTCTGGTCAGGGTTGGATAACACTGCCATGAGCATGCTGGAAATTATGTCTAAAATGTTTTTAGAGCTATGGGTTCCGGATTCCACAGGGAAAGCGCAACCATTTTGGGATGGGGAAAAGGAGTAATTATGGATAAGGGCCTGGTGGGCCTTCTTATCATAACTGGGAGAAAGAGGAGCATGGGATTTGGGTTTGACATGGACAGTTTTTTTATAGGATACTCTCTGCGGGGATGATTTTTTGGTTGGGGTCAATTGGATGTAGTTGGTGGATTTGGGTTTAGATACCTCGGCATATGACTTTTTGACTGAGGGAAATACCTGGCTTGCTTCCGCATAGGAGATTGCCTTTTCTGCCATTAGAGCTTTAATGCTCTTTTGGCGACCTAATTCAGGGCAAGCATTATAATTAGCGAAATGGTTGCCACTGCAATTAATGCAATGTGCAACCTCCTCAGCTACTAAACATCCATCACCAGGATGATCCTGGCCACATCTAAAGCAACGCGGCTTGGAGCGGCATAGAGTGCGGGTGTGCCCGAAACGGCAACAGTTGAAACACTGTATTGTAGGGTATGTGTATTGTTCCACAGGGAGTGCCGAGTAAAAACAAAAAACTTTCTTTGGAAGAATTTGCCCATCGAAAGTGAGAACCACAGTCTGAGTAGGCTTCCACTCTGTACCATTTTCTGTTGACACTTTACGGTTCATACGTCTTGCTTTGATAGCAATACCACATCCAGCGGGAACCTTGATGTTCCTGATTATTTCCTCCTCTGTCCACTCAATGGGAACATCTCTTACAATACCCATTCTTGTGATGTTGTATTGAGGGATTGAGGTAATGTAACTTTGTGCTACAACACAGTTAACGAGGAAACTGTTAGCGTCTTGGTGAGAGACAAACTCGACCGACACTCTATTCCTACCGAGTCGCTTCACTCCTCCAATTTTAATATTGTTTATATTATTCTTCGTCAAGAACATCCCGAATTTGATTGGATGAAGGGTAGTGCCAGTCGTCTGGGAGTCCTTGAGTGAAACATGAACAATATAAGGGGGGTTGTCTTTAGCTGTATAGCACTGCCTACCATTGATGCTTTTCATCAACTTCGGAGGGTTGACGCGGGAGATAACGGGGGAGCCTGCCGGTCGCTTTCTATTAAGATTACATTCAGAATCCATTAGTTCATTTTCCTGGTTGTCGTGAGGGAGGGTCGTGCATAAAATAGAATTATAATCGGATTTGTCGGGAGGATCAGGGGGTTTCTCCTCGTCCATTATTAAAAAAAAGTAGGAACGGTGGGAAGAGAGAACAAGTGTTAAAACTTAAGACTACACAATACCTTATTAAAACTTACACACACACAATTAAACAACACAAAAATAAAAGGGTTTCAATTTAGTTCACTATGAATAAGATCACTAAAATTGACAACAATCGTAGCACCGATAAAAGCACGTGCGTAACCTTCACCACTACCAACCTTGTCCATTCACCATTTAAAATTCAATATCAACATTGTTTGCTTATAAATCTTGATAATTTGACGTTTAATACGTTTATTGACGTTGCTGTAACCTGTGACAGTAGTATTGTCAATGTCAGAGTCAAAAGGTCAAGTTTTTTTTTTTTTTTTGGAGTTTATGGCCTGGATACGAGCCCTTTAAGCCAAGCAATCAAAAGGTCAAGTTGTTTATGGAGCGCTTTTATTCTCTTGTTTCCAGAAAATTGAGGAATTATAATTACAAAATAAAATTATTTATAAAGGTACCTTTAATATAAAAACAAGAATAATACAGTTCTGTTCGAATTGATTGATTTTTAACTATATAGGTCTTTTACATACATGTCGTAAAGATTATCTTAGTCAAAATTTATTTATGTGACGAGAATTCAAGTAGAGTCAAACTTCAAAGTGACGTATTGTCATTGTCAAATTTGAATTTTCGTCTGTTGCTTGACTGTCGCATTTGGTTTTATTTAATGTTTATAAAATATTATTTTTACCCGTAGAAAACTTTTCGTAACTAAAATGAATGAAGAAAAACTGAGTAGTGACAAGGTACCGCAAAAGTTCGCAGAATGGTTGCTGTCCATGGGTTGTCCCCCGGATAGGGTTCCTACTGTTGATAAACTTTCAGAGTGAGTTACATTACAAACAAATACAACGGACTTCCGTGTTTCAATATTTATGTGATATAACAAGAAATCTACATAAGTACTATTTAAGAAATAGTCATTTTGTAATATTGTGGCATTTCGTTATGTATGTATTATGAGACCAATCAATTCAACCAGTCGTTCATATCCCGTATGGTCTAGTGGCTAGGATACCTGGCTTTCACCCAGGAGGCTCGGGTTCGATTCCCGGTACGGGAAAATCTTTTTGTAGTTTTTTAAGTGTTCATGTTTATAATTTTTTGATATTTCATGTAATAACTTCAAAAATATATAATTAATTGTTGTATTTTATATCTTACCTTTTATTTACTATTTTTGTATGTGAACAAAATAATATTTACTATTCGGTATGTGTTCAAACTACAACATTGCTATTAATTTTCAATATCATAGACCCTTAACACTGCTTTTTTTCAATTAAAAATTTCAAATGTTTCAGAATGTGCCGTGGCCAGTATTACATGGTGTGGCGCAGTTTGATGGAGCATGTGGAACCTAAAGAGGTCATCAGACAAAAAAGGCTACAAGTCTTCAACAATGATGTCCAGAGATGTCAGAAAACTAATGCTTTTTGCAAGGTATATTTTATTAAAATTGTTAAGTATATAAAAAATATGCAACTAGCATCCTGCCCTTTCTTCACACTGGTAACCTATTACTATTCTTAAGAGGAATGATAAAGGGGTCATTTATTGATTTATTCTTTATTGTACACAATGAAATGAAGTTGGTAGAAAAGGCGGACTTAATGCCCTATGGCATTCTCTACCAGTCAACCTTTGGGTCAAGTAGAAAATCTGTGAAAAATAGGTATGGAAAATATGTTTATACGAAGTGACTATGTTTAAAATAAAATAAAATATTAAAAAACAATACTAAATAGATTATACATACCTACATTTCAAAAATTTCTTTCAAGAACATTTTATGACAATTCCAAACATTTCATAAAAGTATTGATAAAATCGGTTCAGGAGTTTTTGAGTTCACATTCATTTTAATCTATATCTATACTTATATTGTAAAGAGATAAAATTTGTAAGTTTGCATGTAGGGGGTAATCATTGGAACACCTGTGGTTGGATTGCCAAAATTCTTTCACTGATTGATAGCTACAATGTCCTTGAGTGCTATAGGCTATAAAACATCACGCTACGATAAAATGGAGCCGAGAAGCTAGTGAAACCGCGCGAAAATAGCTAGTATTACAGATTTATGGTGATTGTATGTACTTATTTGTAGTTGCTTTTAATTACTTTTGAATTCAAAACCATTGTTTACTTTCAAGCATCAAATATTATGTTAAAGTAGCTGTGTCCTGCGGTTTCACAAGTAGTTAATAGAGATAGAGTAGCTTCCCAGGGTGAGATATAAAAAAAAATCTGGGGTTTGGGATTTGGGGATATAGCTGTATATGTATAAGAAATAAACTTACATATAATGTAAATATTAATAATATGTTTGTGTTTTTGTGTATATCTTTGAACCATATTTATTACTCTATAAAATATATAATAGTTGAAGCTAAGTAGTTTTGCTATGTAAGTTTTGTAAGGTTTTCGTCCATTTGCACCTACCTTTTTTTTGTAAGGGGAAAATCATCAAATGTCTTCTCCCGCCCAGGGCCGGTCGGGAGGGAATGTCAGGCTCTTACTGACTAAAAACCCCCCCTGTTCCTTCTCTTGCTCTGGGCCGAGGTCGCGGTGCCTCATTGCACCTACCCTTGACTCCTTTCTACGTAACTAATGGTATGGTACAGCGATTCCATTTACCAATAGTGCTAAAAACTTAGGTGTACTCATTGACTCGAATTTATCGTGGGATGCCCAGGTGAATGAAGTCAGTCGGAAGGTTCATTTTTCTATTCATTCGCTGAGGCGCCTCCAGACCCTGCTGCCTGTGAAAACAAAGATTTACCTTGTCCAAGCGCTGATCATGCCTCTGATGGACTATGCAGATGCTTGCTATCTGGATGCCACTGAGGAGCTATTAAATAAACTTGAGCGATTGCAAAATCTATGTATCCGCTTTGTATTCGGTCTTAAGAAGTATGATCATGTCTCCGAATTCCGCAATAGGCTCAAGTGGCTCCCTATCCGTCTTCGCAGGAACACTCGTATTTTATGTCTCCTCTACAATTCCCTCTACAATCCAACTTATCCCGCTTACCTCCGTGACCGTTTCTCCTTGGTGCGTCCTCCTGAAGTCCTAACTCGTTCTCATCTCAAGTCCAACCTTAAAATCGTGCCTCATAATACCGACTTCTTCTCCTATTCTTTCACCGTTTATGCTGTGAGACTGTGGAATTCTCTCCCGCCTAACATTCGTGACGCTAAATCGCTCGCTCTCTTCAAAAAACTAGTTAAGGACCATTACCTTTCTTCATGAGTACTTACAGTTACGTTTATTTATATGTGTATCTTATTTATTGTTATTATTATATATTAAGTATTTATATTTATATGATATATATATACATATATTACCTATTTGTTATCGTTAGTTCTTTTTTTTTTCACTTTTGTTACACACTGTGTCTTATATTTTAATTACATTTCCTGTCTCAGGTCTACTGGAAGAAATTCCAACAGGAATAAGTAGCACCTTTGTACTCTTATTTTTTTTTATGTATTTTCCTCTGTGCTGTTTGTGTGTACATAAATTATTAAATAAATAAATAAATAACTTCAAGGTTTAACGGACAGAGAGTGCCATTAACTTCATCTTCTACAAAACTTATTATATTTCTTATTATTATTCATCTTTTATTCTGCATACTTTCTTCCTAAACACTATCTTTACACAACCTTATAATAATTTTACTAAACTTATGAATGTTTTCAGCCTGACTCAAGTACAATTGTACCTGAAGAATTGACATTATGGAAGCAACAGACTACACTGCGAGAGAGGGTGCAAGATGCAGAGACCAGGGTGCAGCAGGCTCGACAGGAACTCAACCAGCTGGTGGATAAAGTATCCAGTAGATGTAAGTACATAGAATAATATGTATATGAGTCCAATTAAGTAACAATAGACCACAAGACGACCCCAGTAACTTTCTTGTGAGAACCACTGAGGAGTATTTTTTACCTTATTTCGTAAAGGGCAGGCATTTGGCCTCTATCAAGCCTGGTGGTAAGCTATGATGCGACCTACAATGGAGCATATCTACCCCTAAGCAACCCATTCACTTGGGCCTTGAAGACAACCTTTGGGGAACACAGACACCGGCAAAGAATTCCATTCCTAAGCAGTTCTGATTATAAAACTGGAGTCGAACTGCTTGTGGGTGGGATAATAATGTCATAATATATAATTCCTTGCCAAAGTCTTTGCGCATCGTGAAAATTACAATTTATACATATATAAAAATGGATCGCAAAATGTGTTGGTAAGCCTGGACTAATTTTGCTAATTCTTTTTTTGTTGTGTTTGTTATTGTCAGGAGAAGGTTCCTAGCAAAGAAAATATTAGAATAATAGAAGGGAAGATTAGGAAAAAGTGACCCTTTGATAGCGAGATAGTTTTACCCGTGCGAAGCGGGTGCGGGCCGCTAGTTTTTAATGAAAATAACGTGAAATAATTTCTATTCTATTTTATTTATTATTCTTTCTATACGGGACTATGCCTCAGCGAATGCTGAGGTGGTAGCACTCCTCCTAAGACCCAAGGCATATTATTTATTAACAAATCCTTAATCCCACAGTATCGCATCGCAATCTTGCTCGTACCCGTGTGCAAGGGGCGCAGCGCCGCGCCTGGCTACTGCAACAGTTGGCTGAGGAGTTACGCGCTAAAAGAGACAGCTTGAACGAAGCCAGGACGATCGCTGATTCACTATGTAGCTTTGAAGAATGCACTGATGTCGAGGTAAGATGTTTTGTCGTATGTTAAACACTTTTGGATATCTTTCTTTAATCTTAGGATTTTCACCTGTGTCGTACTATCACGTGATTGTATTTAAAAATTTACATATTCACATACACAAACTATTCAGATCCGAATCAACGATTTGTATATTACACAAAGTGGTGTTTCTTGTGGGAGTTCAACCCGCGACACGTTGCACAGCAGCCAGTTGCCCAGCCACTGCGCCAACCGTGCAGTGTAATGTGTTTCTAGTTGCACCAGATGCATTTTTCATTACTCAGTACTCACATGTTCGAAACTAGTCGAGTTTTATTCGTAACGTCTAGCTCAGTTGGCTGCGCGACGTCGCCACGTGTTCATGAATAAGAGTCCCGTTGTGACTTGAAACTAGTAGAGCTTTTATCAGCTTATCAGGCGAGTAAGTCGTTATTTCCTTTAAATGTACAAAAAAATACACTTTGTCTTTTTCATTTCGTCGAACACCTATAAACTACTGAATGAATTTGAATGAAATTTGGCATAGAAACAGATTATAGTGTGGAATAACACACAGATATTAACGTGTACGTGACTTTTAGCTTAAGTACTGCGGCCGTAAGTAATTAATTTTATTAATATTTTCAGAATAAGCTAGATAAGTTGACTGCCCGGCGTCAGAACATGCGTCCCCCCGCGGCTCTGTCTGTCAGCATGGCGCCACCACTCGCCAGTTCCTCTATCACATCGAATGGCGGAGATATGAATGACTCAGGTAATATAGTCTTATTCATAGAGATCCACAACTTGTTTTTTCTCGTCTGGATGAGAAATCATAAGTTTATAAAGGCGCGGCAAGAGATATTTTTTTTCAAAATATTTATTGGGTGGTTCTCCTTTTCCGATCTTTGTTTCGTAAAACAACTAAAACTGCATATTGTTGTAATACTCAGTAATACTTTGCTCTGGGCAGCCAGAATGCAAGCACATAACATCACCAGTGGCTCCTCTTGGTTAAGGATTCGATCTCCAGCCTTGTGGCCACTTGCCAGGTGCATATACATTTGAAGATAATCTTCAAATTCAATTCCTCAAATATATACATACATTATCTTAGTACGCCTATTTATCACATTTACAGTTCACTAATCAACATTTTATTATGATGTTAATTTTTAATCTATTTCAGTGGGTATGTATTATATTTATCACGTCACAACCTCAGGTTCAGTTGAGAACCAGCGTCAGGCACTAGTTTTCTGGCATACATGCTGAACTGAACCTTTTTTGGCGCAGCTGTGAGGCACACAATAATTGTATTATCATTTTTTTTTTTATATTTATTCTTCTATTTTTTGCTTCATAATTGTGTGTTTTTCTTTATTTTCTTGTGCCCTACACTGTGGCAATATATATATATATACATTGTCAATTAATTAATACAAAATCTGTGTATTTGTGTACAGAGGAGCAGATATCGTCTCTGATCAAGCATGGCGGCGCGCTATGGCCTCAGCTGTGTGAGCGTCGCGCCGCGCTCACTGACGCACTGGCTGCCCCTACCAATCACGATACTGCTGATAATAATAGGTATAGTATTTTTATAATACTTTGTTTTTTAGGGTTCAGTTGAAAACCAGCATAAGGCAATGCTTTGTCTCGCTTTTTTTTCTTTTAATATTATAATATTGTATTAATCTTTTGTTTAATATGTGGTTTTCTGCACTATACATATTTGTCTGTGGCCCTAATAAATATTTTTCTTTCTTTCTTTTCTTTTCATTATAACCATGATGTTAAGTACCCACTATGTGTATTTTTTTTGGTATTTTCTGAAGCAATCACTTCACTATGCTATAAAACAAAGTCACTTTCTCTGACTCTATAATATTGTGCTTTTATATGCTTCATCATCATCAGCCTATAAGTGCCCACTACTGAGCAAAAGCCTCTTCTCATACAGAGAAGGTTAGAGCATTAATCACCACGCTTGCTCAATGCGGGTTGGCGATTTCAAACTTATAATTAGAAATTATAAGCCTAGGTTTCCTCACGATGTTTACCTTCACCGTATGTCAGTGGTGTCTAAATAATCTTAGAAAGTACATATAACTCGGAAAAAGTCACATTGGTACTTGCCAGGTGTCGAACTCACACCCTCATGAATGAGAAGCGGGCTTCTTAACCTCCGGGCCACCACGACAGTTTTTTTTTTATATGCTTAAATCTTTAAAAATACGCAACAGATTTTGACGCGGTTTTCTAAATAGATAGAAGGATTGAAGAGGAAGGTTTAATTATTTATGTATAGAACCTCCATTGAATAATGGCGAAATTTAGTTTTTGTGATACTGCAAGCTACCTGACGGATTATCCGATGGTAAACAATTGGCGCCGTCCATGGACACCACCAGAGGAGTTGAGGAAATGCATTGCCGGCATTATGAGGATAAGGGGTTTTGAGCATTCAAGGATTGAATGGGGAAGGGTTTGAGCCTTCAGTAACCTCAATCACACGGCGAAACGCAACGCTGTGGTTTTTTCAAGCCGGATTTCTGTGAGGGCTTAGTATCACTCCGGTTGAGAACACGTATTTTTTTTTGCACACTTTTGCACATTCATCTGTGTACAAGGTGGACTTAATGCCACAGGCATTCTCTCCCAATATTTAAGTTCAGTATCAGCATTCCACTCGTCAGGTCGCTAATGTACTGTAAAATATATAAAAAATAATATAACCATAACATAGGTATACGTAAAAAGTGTGTAATGTTCCAGGATAACTCCCCAATGGGTACTGTCCCACACGGCGTCCCTGCACTGCTCGTTGGCCCTCAACGCCGTGAAGCACAAGGTCCACACCAAGCGCGCGCAGAAGAAACTAGCCGCCTCGCTCACACAGATTAATGTGAGTACATTTGTTATTAACCTTTTAATCGTGGCAATGTGAGAAACAATAGGTGGACGAACGCCGGCGTTCGCTTGGAGTTTGATTAATTAAGAGTTATTGCAGTAGTGATGGCCGGGAAGTTAAAGCTGGCTAGAACCAATGTGACTTTTTCCGAGTTATAATATGTACTTTCTTTGATTATTTAGACATTACAGCATGACGGTGAAGGGAAACATCGTGAGGAAAACTGGACTTATAATTTCTAATTATAAGTTTAAAATCGCCAATTCGACTTGAGCAAGCCTGATTATTGCTCAAACCTTCTCAGTGTAAGAAGAGGAATTTGCTCAGCAGTGGGCACTTACAAGCTGATGATGAAGAGTTATTAGTATCGAAAAGTACCGTATGTGTTATCATCGGACATTTCTTTTTGTGAACCGCAAAATGGTGTTCTGGATTTGTGTACTTATGTATGTAAATTCTATTAAATGTATTGTATGCTTGTAAACGCAGCTACTAGACTGAGAACTAAGTAAAGTCCGCATCCTGCGGCGCTGTTTTTTTTTTTGAGTCTCGGACTCTTATTGGCATAATACTTCCCGTACCTTCTGCTACAGGCCGAGACCGAGGTACAATACCGTGCTTGACCTTAAAGATGACTAGAAAATCTTTTGCTGATCTCTTCAATCTTCAGTTACTAAACATTAGGTAGCAAATAAAATCGATTATTTTATTATTTTTAAATCCTAGGACTACCTGTCGGGCGAGGCGTGCGAGTTGCTAGTAGTGCGCTGCGAGCGTGCGCGTGCGCAGGCTCGCGTGGCTACGCTACGTGCGCTTCACGACGACGTGACCTCACGCTCTGGCCTGTTTCACGCCGCCGAAGCCCCGCCCGCCGCTCACGCCGCCAGGCAGTTACTTACCATTGATAAGGCCATCGTAAGTCTATTGTATCTATTTATAAGCCTTTGTTGTGAGGAGAAAATCATCCAATGATTTCTTTCGCCCAAGGTCAGGCGAGAGAGAGTGTCAGACTCTTATTGACTAAAAACGCCCCCGTTACTTGCTCCTGCTCTGGGTCGAGGCCGCGGTACCTTATTGCGCTAGCCCGGCTTCTTCGTTGTAACTGTGGGTCTTAGTGATATTCTGTAGTTTTCATTAAAAAATATTCCTCAAGGCCTCAGACAAATAAGTTTGCCTTGCTAAAAAAGTGATGAACAAAAATGTAGTTTATTAAAACTTGATGATCAAAGAGAGAGATGGAAAATACAAACTTTATATACTTATTACTTCGAAAAAATAATTTTAACTTAATTTTTTTTTATTATCTACTTATAATCAATACTAACAACTTATCATTACTTATAATCAATTCTGAACCTTTTAACCAAATTCGATAAGGTTCAATATTTACTTACATTCCCTAAATTTCACAGGAAACAAAACGCGACGAGCTGAAGCGTCTAATAACTTCGTTGGCAATAACGGAACGGAAGACACAGAACGTGCGGGAATGTCTGACGAATGTGTTCAATAGCTTCCACAGTGACACTGGGTACCAGGGTGACAGGTTCGGAGGTAGGTCCTTACATCATCACCAATCAATCAATAGATAGATGTCGAGATGGCCCGGAGGTTAAGCAGCCCGCTTCTCATGTATGAGGCTGTGGGTTCCAAACCTGACAAGTACCAATGTGACTTTTTCCGAGTTATATGTACTTTCTATGATTATTTAGACACCACTAACATACGGTGAAGGTAAACATTGTGAGGAAACCTGGACTTATAATTTCTAATTATAAGTTTGAAATCGCCAACCCGCATTATGATATTCACCCGCATTGTGATAATCAGTGTGGTGATTATTGCTCTAACCTTCTCCGTATGAGAAGAGAGAGGCCTTTGCTCAGTAGTTGGCACTTATAGGCTGATGATGATGACGAAAATGATGAATCAATCAATCGTCATCATCCATGGGAGAACGAGGCTTACGAGGAAAAATCATTCATTTCAATTAGACCCTTACCGGCACTTTTTTACAACAAACAGAATTTTAAACATATAAACTCAGTCTGTCGGTCTGTCCTCTTAGTGAAGCTATTTGCTGCTTGTTTCAAAATGTAGATTCTGATGGAGAAGAACGAGCAAGAAACTCCATGGTACATGTTTGGCACAGAAAACCGGTGTGAAACAATCACAGCATTGTGTGATTGAGGTTACCGGAGGCCCAACACTCCCCATCCTCAAAACCCCAATCTCTACTTTTATACATCTTGTTTTTCATCTCATTAATATTATTAATGCAAAAGTTACGATGTTTGGATGTTTGTTACTCAATCACGCCAAAACGGCTGGACGAATCTAGATGCATTTGGGACAGGCATAGGATACACTCCGGAATAAGACAAAGGCTACTTTTTATCAACATACCACGCGGGCTAAACCGCGGGCGGAAGCTAGTTTTTGATAATTATGTGTCTTTAAACTTTGTTTAGGTCAACTTTCGTTGCCACAAGAGTCAATATCAACATTACGACGTTTTTACGAAGAGAGGAGAGACAGAAATAGGAACAAAGTGAACTTAAGTATGGACCTCGACACGTCAGAGAACTGCTCGTATGATGCCGCAGGTAAATCTATACAACTTTTATAACTTCATCTGAATTTTTTAGCTGTTTCGGAGATGCGATTGAGTACTTAAAATTAAATGAAACTAGCGACTCGCCCCCGCTTCGCACGGGTCCAACTATCTCGCTATCAAAGGGTCACTTTTTCCAAATCTTCCCCTCCACTTTTCTAAAATTTTCTTTGTTAAGAACCTTCTTCTGACAATAACAGACGCAACAAAAAAAGAATTAGCAAAATTGGTCCAGGCGTTCTTGAGTTATGCGCTTACCAACACATTTTGCGATCCATTTTTATATATAAGATGAAATTCGTTTTGTTTTCTTCCCGTCAATGAGCATACTTATTTCATGAAAATTAATTTGAAAAATATGTCAACATTAACACTGTTGAAGAACTTGAGTCTTCTCTCATAGTCTTTAGAGTCTTTATTGCTTTGAAAATACTTTTAATGTATTTCTTTATATTTAGAAGTTGATACAACTATTTATTTCTAACTAGGTCTTACCCGCGGCGTCGCTCCCGTCATTTGAGTATCTACCCTACTCTACCTACCCCCTACTCTACCTACCCTACCTACCCTACTCTACCTACCCCCTACTCTACCTACCCTACCTACCCTACTCTACCTAGCCTACTTACCCTACCTACCCTACTCTCCTACCCAACTACCCTACCTACCCTAGCTACCCTAGCTACCCTACTCTACCTACCCTACCTACCCTACCTACCCAACTCTACCTACCCTACCTACCCCTACCTACCTACTCTACCTAGCCTACTCTACCTAGCCTACTCTACCTACTCTACTCTACCTACCCTACTCTATGTACCCTACTCTATCCTATCTTATGTCCTTCTCCTGGCTCTAAACTACCTACCTGCCGATTTTCTGCTAAATCGGTTCAGCCGTTCTTGAGTTATAAGTGGAGTAACTAACACGACTTTCTTTTATATATATATATAGATTTAGCCAAGTACCCGATTGTGTAGTTTGATTAAGTATATAAATCTATCATTAGTGATATTCAGAAAAGTATTCGAATTTTACTTGATTTATTACGAATGTAGTGTGTCTAGGAAATATTTACTTTCTGTTCCAGAAAATACTAATCCGACCTTCATTGATGAACTGAAAGTCTACTTGAAGAAGTTCAAGCTGGAGAATAATAGAAAATTGGTCCTGGACAAGTAAGTGTACGATTTTCACTATCACGATTTCATATATTACTCGTACATATACAGCTAAACAAAGGTTTCTCACACGGAGAATTGGCAATTATAACTTCGGAACCCTAATCCCCAAAAGGTGGTCAACGCACTCAAAACTCCTCTGGTATTGCGAGTGTCCATGAGCGGCTTGCTTACCATCAGCTAACCCATCAGTTATAATAACACGTTCTCATTACAGCGGCGAAAAGGTCTGGATATTTGAAACCCTCCAATCATCAGTGGACCGGATACACTCAAGCTGGCAACGTGATGAGGTCACATGTTCCCTTATCTGTCCGTCTGTCAGTCTGTCACGCAATCTACAGAAGATTATACTTACCGCACAGAGGAGAAATGAAATGGAGGCAACGTTGAAAGTTCTGGAAAGTACACTGAGAAGGGATGTGTCTATAGGTAAGTAATTTTTCAAATCATTATCATATTAAAGTAGTGTAGGGCGCCCTCCAGTTTGGGGGGCTGACTATATCCGTAAGTTGAATGCAGTGGTTGGATGAGAAGAGCTGACCATCGAGCTCATTGGTGTACAACTGAATCAGACTGATGATGATGAGAATATAAAAACTCGTTTCCTTTAATCTCCAACCCCCTTATTACAAAACAGGGTTTATCTTTAGTCCAGGTTTAAACCATTCAGTCGGGTTTTGAATTTTGAATCTTATTGTCATCTACCTTAAATTCGAAATACAAAAACTGGCTCAATGGTTTAGTACTAGATTAAAATAAAACCTTGTTTTGTAATAAGGCCGCAAAAGTTTTATTAAAGTTACATATTATACTAGCTACGCGATCAAATGGAGCCGAGTAACTAGTATATAATAAAGAGTAGCTAGTATATAATAATATTACTTTCACTAAAAACCATTTCCATTATTCCATTACAGATATCTCATCAGAAAAGGAAGAGGAGAACAATACAATAGATAGAATAAAGAAACGTCTCAACGACAACCTGGTGGCCTTGCAGAAGACTGTGAAGACCCTCGACTTGGGACGGGAGAACCTTCAGCTTTGGTCAGACGACTCCATGAAAAAATACATCTCAACTAATAGAACGATCGATGGAAAAACTTATAAAGATTATGAAGCGAACTATTTGGAGAGCTTGAATCTTAATATGTAGTTTATTATGAATTATTTTTTATGTAATAGTTCGGCTAGCTGGCAGACGTATTACCTGATGGTAAGCAATCAGCGTCGCTCGTGGACATCCGCAATACCAGAAGTTTGGGGATTAGTGTTTCGTTGACATAGGGATTGGGAATGGGAGAAAAGGATGGAGCCTCCGGTAACCTTACTCACACGGCGAAACACAACGATGTGGTTGTTTCACGCCGGTTTTCTGTGAGGCCGTGGTATCAATCTGGTCGAGCCGACCCATTCGTGCCGAAGCATGGCTCTTCCACACTTATTAAGTTATTCTTATACTTAAACTTGGGTTGCCTCACATCTTCCTTAAATTCAACACAAACAATGCGAGACCTTATAAATATTGCTAATTTGAATTGGATGGACTTCTATGAATTTTCTAAGAAATTGCAACATATTATTTTAAAGCTTTTCATCAATAGCATAGGTATTAACATTTTTCTGAAAAATATATGTAAGAAAGAAATCTTTAATGTAGTCTGTCGTCAAATCAATAAAGATATGATGTAAAAAAATTCAACGTCAAGTCAAAATAATTTATTTTTGACCCAGGAAAGCAAACTAGTAGTACCTACTTTAAACTAAATGTCTCCGCTATTTAATAGATGTTATTATACATATTATGTATTTTCGTCTTCAATCACTCTATTTACGGAAAATGAAAATTCACAATTATACATATTCTTGTTGTTATGCGAATGTTATTTCGCTTGATAGTTGTAATACATTGTAATAAACTTATTGCAAGCGTTACTCAAGCATCGAACGAATTCCTACTCGTTTTTACGCTTTTTATACTGTAAAGGCAAGGTCTATAAAATTTTGTTTCTAATAATCTTAGGTATTTGTATACCAGTTTGAAATAAATACCTACCTATAGACGTCAAGTTGTTTTTTTTTATATTAATACTAACGATCTCCCTGGCTTTGCACGGATGCTGATACTAAATTTGTCCATTATTTAATTGATATACATATATACATATACATATAAATATATATATATAAATCACTCTAATCATTAAAAAAACTGCATCAAAATTTTAAAGACTTAAGCATACATAGGGACAGAGAATGCATGGGTGGAATGCATGCATGGGAAATCTGGCAAGTACCAGTGTGACTTTTTTCGAGTTATATGTACTTTCTATGATTATTTAGACACCACTGACATACGGTGAAGGAAACATCGCAAGGAAACCTGGATTTATAATTTCTAATTATAAGTTTGAAATCGCCAACCCGCATTGAGCAAGCGTGGTGATTAACCTAAGCTAACCTTCTCCGTATGAGAAGAGGTCTTTGCTCCACAGTGGGCACTTATAGGCTGATGATGATGATGATGACTAGCCTCCTACTATAGTAATAGTTACACATTATTTACAGAGCTATATAACACTGTAATATAAGCTATGAGACGGCAAATGTGATAGGTAGGTAGGCATACGAGTAGACGGATTATCTGATGGTAAGCAATCAGCGCCGCCCATGGACACCCGCCACAGCAGAGGAGTTACGAGTGCATTGCAGACCTTTTGGGGATTAGGGATTGGGGGAGGGGAAGGATCGGGCCTCCGGTGACCTCACTCACACTGCGAAACGCAAAGCTGTGGTTAATTCACGCCGGTTTTCTATGAGGCCGTGGTATCAATCCGGTCGAGCCGACTCATTCGTGCCGAAGCATGGCTCTCCCACACTTAAATACACACAGGCAATATAATTAAGTGGCAGAAACAACAGGCACATCACTATTCTATATGTGTTGTCTTCTATTTGTGACCAGGGCGTGGACGGCCCGTCATTTTTATGACTATTTTGCTTCCGAAATAAGGAGTAGGAATGTAATATCTCGCTTATTGATGTGTTTTCGTACAATATTATCTATATATTATATATTAAATTGCCATTTTGTATTGGCTATTTGCAAAGCGAGTAGTGGCGGACAGATAGCGACCGCAGCGCACAATACGGCAGAAATTGGAATCAAATGCGGATGATCAGCTGTCGGCTTTTATTATTATATTCATTTTACAGTAAAACTATTGAATAAATTGCACTTAAATAATGTCAACAATACTATTTTAATTGTTGGTTTTATTTATATTTGCAAAGAACATTATAATGTTCCTACATTGTTATTATTTGAACGCTACGCGTCGCCACCGTCGCGCACATAGCCAATACCTCTTTTTTCTGTCACGTATTTGTGTCATTGGCTCCCAGGGACAACTTCCGCTTGTCACGTATACGTGATAATGACGCTCACAAGGTTAAACTAAAAAATCAGAAAATTCACCGCCAAATTTTGCGACTAGTGTGTTTGCCAGACGTGGACCATTGCCACTGAAATAAGGCCTCGTTTTTAACCCCTATCGACGGGACCTTAAAAGGCCAAGGTCAGAAAAAGATAAAACTGAACAACAGAGCCCAATGCTGAAAAAGTTTTCGATAAAATCGAATGCTTTTTGTTTTTTCTATATGCAAATAGAATAGTCTGGAAAAGTCGAGATACATATACGACGATACAATAAAACATGAGCAGACTAAAAGTGCGCACTAGTGAGTAAAGGCGTCTACTCACATGGAGACGGTTTTTTTATAGCGAGTACAGTACCTACGGCCGCCGTATCTTGGCGAGTCTGAAGTTAGCCGTTTGTCTGCGCAATGGATCTTTTAGGAACAAAATTGTGTAATGCGCAGCTAATCGGCTAACTTTAGACTCGCCAAGATACGTGGGCGGTATTGTAAACGAGCTGAAGGATTACCTAACGGTAAGTCACCGGCGCCGCCCATTACAATTAAGTACAACACCAGAGAGTTACGAGTGCATAGCCAGCCGTTTGGAGACTTGTTGATTACGGAAGGATTGGGTTTCGGCAACTTTTTTTTCTTTTTTTATGTAATAAGTAGGTAGATTGGCAAACGAGCAGACGGATTACCCGATGGTAAGCAATCAGCGCCGCCCATGGACACCCGCAACGGAGTTACGAGTGCGTTGCCGACCTTTTAGGGATTGGGGGAGGGGAAGGATTGGACCTCCGGTAACCACACTCACACAGCGAAACAACGCTGTGGCCTTTCACGCCGGTTTTCTGTGATGCCGTGGTATCACTCCGGTCGAGCCGAAGCATGGCTCTCCCACACTTAAGCCTTACCTACTTACACAGCGAAATACAACGCTGTAATAATTGTTTCACATCGATTTTCCGTAGGGCGTGGTATCACTCCGGTCGAGCCTATACTTACGGTATGAGAATTTTGTTATGAGCTAAGATTAAACGCATTTAATGAGTATTAATCACCGTGCGTGTAATTTAATACTTTATGTCTGCACACGTTGTAATTGTAATGTTGGTAGGTATATAATAGCTTAAAAGTGGGGACATATAATTGTCTGCATGTTACATATTTTTTTTTATAATTAACTAGCGGCCCGCCCCCGCTTCGCACGGGTCCAACTATCTCGCTGTCACAGGGTCACTTTTTCCTAATCTTTCCCTCTACTTTTCTAATAATTTATTTCTTTGATAAGAACCTTCTCCTGACAATAACAAACACAACAAAAAAAGAATTAGCAAAATTGGTCCAGGCGTTGTTGAGTTATGCGCTTACCAACACATTTTGCGATATGTTTTTATATATAAAGACTACTTAACAGTATAATATTGTAACTATATATTGAGATTTAAGCTATCCTATCTTTCAAGTTGGATCAAAATGCACACGGAATGCAAATCAAATTTAAAATCGGTTTAGTACTTTAGGAGTCCATCGCGGAGAAACACGTGACACGAAATTTTTATACATAGGTATAAAAATAAAGATACCTAAGTAAATTTTAATGCTGTTAGTCCTCCAAATAATAAATAAGACCACACCATGTTATTATATTAACAAAATATCGCCTTAACTAGGAAAGAACTTAACTGATAAACGAAGCAACGAACCTTCTATTCAGAGCTGGCGAAAATGCTTACGTTAATAATAATAATACCTTTCAAAAGTTACGTTCGGACCCCGTTCTACCCTAGAACAGCTCACAGAGGGTGGTGCGGGATGCGGGTTGGGGTGGAATGCACCCCGTGCGGTTTGGGGTGGAATACCCCAACCTTACCCCATCCTAAAGCCGTCGTATCCCTTTATTGTCAGCCACAGGGATCGTGGACGGGAGAACGAGTGGAGAGAAAATCTATACAACGTACCTACTACCGTACCTACATTGTTGCTCGAAGCTCTTTTTTGCTTTTTCGAAGTTAGCTCAAAATTTTGGATGTTTGTTAATGTGATCGACGTTTCGTAATACTTAGGATACTGCTTGATATCCTCAAAACTTTACATAATAGGAATATTTATTTATAGCAGTAGACAGGATATGAAAAAGAAAGGAGTTTTGACTCATTTTGAGCCTGTTTCCTGTGTATAGCGAGTTGAGTACCAGATAAGTTTGAATATAGAACATGTTTTTTATTATCTGCCTAGATATTTATGTGCCACACATAAGTTTATATGGTCAATAGGTAACTGGCTAGTTCGACGTTTAAAGCTGGAAATACATTACCGCAGCGTTCCTTATCGTGTCGTGCCAGAACTACTAGAACGCCCCATTCTTATACTTCACGCTCAGAATACAGAACAAACCAGAAGGCGTCATCGCGCTTCAAACTGAAGCAACTAAAACCACTCTTAACTAGATTAGTATGAAATTTCTACGATCAGTCACGTCACGCGAGTTCAAACGACACAACAGACTACGCAATGGTAGGTAAAGTATTTCTGTCGTTGTAAGGTTTTGTCCCTCATTTAACTAAACAAAAGTTTGGGCCACTCGTAATTCTGTAATTGTAACTTCTTTGAATCTTAAGTATCCCCACAACCAACAAAAAAATCTTTGATTTAAAACCACGCGCCACAATGCAAAAATTATTTATTTTCATCACGAAATTAATTTCCCTGTTCGGACATAGCCTAGGTCGGACAACGTTTAAAACGGTCATAATACCTAGTGCAAAATTATTATTTCGGTTATCACAACGAATCAATTTATCATACCCATCAAGCTGGATTTTTATAAAATACTTACTGAACATAGATTTTCCCACCCCATCCCTTATAGCCGCAAGAGGAGACCGAACACCCGCTCTCAGCGCAAAAAGTAAAAATCAACTTTAAGCGTGAAATATATTTTGCAGCACATTTTTCGAAGCAGAGAAGGAAAACTGTAGAGAGTAGACTGAATTGATATTATAACGAATTTTACCGACAACAAAATTTTGATTAAAGTAGATAGTAAACTATAAATATCATAAAGAAAAAAGTTAATTAAAAGGATTTCAATTCAATTATAAATCTAATTACTGAATTAAAGATATAAAAACTAGCTTAGTACGTTTGTTTCTCTTCCACCATAATCGCTAAAGCAATTTATTTTTAAGCAAGAATACAGTATGGGTTGCCGTGTTCGGGCTAAATGTTATCGCAGTAGTAAGACCCCTCTTTGAGGAGTGACTAGAGAGACCACGGCGTCCTCCCCGATCCTCCCCCTATTCCAGGCCAGGGCCGTTTCATTATGGCGCTTGACTGGCAACACCGGCTTTGCTTAGGCTGAGTATCACCCTGAATTTGTCGGCGGTGGAGACAGTCCCGGATCCGGCCATTTAAGATTTATGATTTTCCCCTTCAATATAAAAAAAATGGTACAAACTTTCTTTTATAAAAAATCTAAATGTGCTGTTTAATGGAAAAGTATTTATCTAGTATACCTACTGAATACAGCAATTAAACATTAAACGACTTAAGAGATGAATCGGGGGATTTGACAAATCCACAATCAAATATGGAACTCAATCAAAATCAAATATGAACTTTTGTCAAAAGATTGAAAGAGCAAGACAGACGGTAGATGATGTTGTAATCATGAATCACTTTGGAGCTGTTCTGATAGCCGGCCGACTAACACAAAACAAGACAGTACTGGTTATAATACGCTATCAGCTTCCCTTAATTGTCCGTTTTATCTACGTGTCCGTTTTAATCCCTTTTATCTACGCACACGTAGGGGGTCATTATGTCAGGGTATAGGTTTTCTATATTTTTTGTGAGGGGGAACGTTATAGATTGTGTTAGAGAGTGTCAGACTCTATCGTGGTGGCCCGGCGGTTAAGCAGTCCGCTTCTCGTGCATGAGGGTGTGGGTTCGAAACCTGGCAAGTATCAATGTGACTTTTTCCAAGTTATGTGTACTTTTTATGATTATTTAGACACCACTGACATACGGTGAAGGTAAACATCGTGAGGAAACCTGGACTTATAATTTGTAATTATAAGTTTGAAATCGCCAACCCGCATTGAGCAAGCATGGTGATTAATGCTCTAACCTTCTCCCTGTGAGAAGAGGCTTAGCTCAGCAGTGGGCATATGATGCAATAGTAGGCTGATGATGATGATGTGTCAGACGCTTATTACCCGAGGCCGCAGTGTCTTATTGCGATAATCGCGACGCAAAGAGGAGAGATAGTGAAATAAGAAACTTATAATATTAAGACTATTTAGAAAAGGGGAGTGTTAAAAACCAATTTAAAAGCGAGAGAAACCGTTCGAAGACCTAATATTAAGCGTCATAAAATAAACGTAAAGCGGTGTGGGTAATAGCAAGTAATAAACCAGGTCGTTACCTACATAGACATGGGTGTCTGAATAAATAATAATCGCAAATTGAATATACCTAATGTATTGTTTCTTTACAAGAAAAGTTTTTAGCTATCGTATCGTAAGATCTTGTAAAATCGGGACCGTGCAAAAGTCGGTTTAAAAGATTGCAGAGTTTCATAATTATTTTTGTGTCATCATCAGTCTATTATAAGTGCCCACTGCTGAGCAAACCTCTTCCCACATGGAGAAACTTTGAGCATTAATCACCATTCTTGCCAAAGGCGGATTGTGTTACCTCCAAAATTTCTTACCAAATATGAATTATAAATTTGCCAAAAAATATGTGCTATTAATAACATGTTTAGTGAATATAACCTTGATCGCAGTATTATTGAGATTGTTAAACAGAGAAAGCCATCCAGAAACCTATAATTACACTATTGATAACCGACATATGAGAGTATGGAAGCAACGGTTATTAAAATATCCTAAAATAGTATCATGCCATGAGTCTAGAAAAGGGGATAATCTGGGACTCCTCGATCCAAGGACGGTGGCAGAAAATTCCACATTTTTTATCGAAACTTCTTGCTTGGGGGATTTATCATCCCGCTACGCGTGTGCTGTGGAATCCGCTGCAAAAGCCAACCCGGACAGACAAATATATGTGTTATTTTCATCACCTGTCCCAAGAGCCGCATTGGAAGAGAAAGCCATAATAAATGTTCTGGATGAATCCTACAACAACATAAAGTTTGCGCGGGTTCTGATCAAAGATTTGGTCAAAGAGACGCCTTTGCAGAGCTATGTCTACAGATTGGACAAGAAAGATTTGGACGAACGTGTTCCTCGCATTCTAAAGTTCTTGACGTTGTACAAATTTGGTGGCATTTACTTAAGTTTCGACGTTATTGTGGCGAAACAATTTGACCTTTGCGATAGCTGGTTTGTGAAAGATACCCCGAAGACATTTTCATCGGACATGTTTGCATTTTCAAGAAATAAAGTTGGCAAGAAGCTAGCTGATACTGCTCTGAGGTACTTATTTATCAAAGACTAGCTATTCTCGCGCCGTTTCACCTGCTGCCCAGCTCCGTTTGATCGTAGCGTGACGTTATATGGCCTATACCACTCAAGAACATTGTAGCTATCTATCAGTGAAAGAATTTTGGCAATCCGACAAGCGGTTCTAAAGATACAAACTAACAAACATACAAACTTATAAATTTTACCTCTTTAGTTATTAGTATAGATTTATGTAGATACTGTAGGTATTAAGCTATGAGCAAACTTCCTTTTCTTTTCTTATAGGCTTTTTGAGTGGGAAATATCATTAAATGACTTCTCTTACCCTGGATGAGAGGTGAGAGGGAGTGTCAGACTATGGCTGACAAAAATCACCCCGTCCCTTCTGCTATAGGGCGGGGCCGCAGTTCATTACTGCACTTCCATCCGCATCCCCGGTAACCTTATAGACTTCGGGGCTCGAGCTAATCAAGGGCGATGTAAGAGTTCCTCTCTGTATATTATATTCAAGTACTTATCTTTTTTGTTTTTTTTTGTGAGGGGAAAATCATCAAATGACTTCTCTCGCCCAGGGCCGGGCGGGAGGGAGTGTCAGACTCTTACTGACTAAAAACCCCCCTGTTCCTTCTCCTGCTCTGTGCCGAGGTCGCGGTGCCTCATTGCGCTTACCCCGCAACCCCGGCTGAACATCAGCCCTTTAGGGCCCCGTCTGTGGTGGTCTATTGGCTCTTTGAGGTGCGCGCGGAACGCTACGCGCCGTACGCTCGGGCCTGGTTCTAGTCGGGCGGCGAGCTGCCCTTACTCGCCGACCGCAGATATTCAAGTATCTAAACTTACGACTACTTACAATATGTGCGACCCTCTAGCAACCCGACAATCCTGTGACTGGCTTGAGTTGCAATCAAACAGCGTTAGCAATACGTATGCGGTGCTTTTTGATATTTTTTTTTACAAATGTACCTATTAAAACATTTGAAACATTCCCAATGTTTATTCTACACTGAAGTCAGAAAAAACATCAATTCAGGATTCAAAAACGGATCCAACGAATACTTACTCAACTGCATCGTCTGGATTACAAGTATCTACTTCTTTATAGATCCCTTGCGTTTATGAAGACGAAATACTTTATTGTGTGTTAGTTTTTGTGGGATGGCTGGCAGTGGTTGGATGACTAGAGCTGAACATCGAGCTCATGATGATGATGATTCTAGCGAAGAGTCCTATGTCCTTTTAGGTCCTAATACTCTGTGGACCATAGACAAAACTTTTTGTTTTTTTTTCTTTTGTTATTAATTTTTTTTGAACCATTTCATTTTTATCTTTGTCGTTTAGTTTAGATTTTTAGTATTATTTTATTTTCTTCTTTTTTTTGTTTTATGTGTGTGCGCTTGCGCGAAAATAAATGTTTTTTTCTTTTCTTTTTTTTTCTTTCTTTCTAATAAACAGAAAAATGTTTTACAAGATTCTTTTTAACTGCAGGTTATTGAATGACCCAGATATACCGGTGACAGAGAGTTGGAGTTACGACACGACATCGGTCGTATCCCACTTAGTGCTACTAAGTTTATTAGGGACAAATTCTACAAAGTGCAAAGGTACATATGTTATTTTATCTTTTTTCTCTCGCGCGGTTTCACCCGCTGCTCAGCTCCATTTAATCGGAGCGTGATGTTTTATAGCCTATAGTACTTAGAAATATTGTAGCTATCTATCAGTGAAAGAATTTTGGAAATTGGACCAACGGTTCCAAAGATTACCCCCTACATACAAACTTACAAATTTTACCTCTTTATAATATTAGTAGGTATGTATAAACTTGCTGTGTATGAGAAGAGGCCTTTGCTCAGAAGTGGGTGCTTATAGGCTGATGATGTAGGATTGCAAACGAGCTGCCGGATTAGCTACATTCCTACATAGTATAGTAGTATAGTATAATATATATTGTATACTACCTACATAGCAGTTCTTGCCAGGTTACGAACCTGCACACCCATTCATGAGGGCCAGGACACAGAGAGCAGGAGCCTTAAACTCCAGGCCACCGCGACCATTTTGTTAATTTGTTTCCCGCCTTTATCCATAAAAATAAGTCATATTAACTTTTTATCTTTATTTCAGATGTAGGTTTCCAAATTTATGATCCAGATAAATTCTACCCGTTGTCTTTCTACGAAAGAGCTGCGTATTTCTCTCTAGTAGAACAAAATAGAGAGATCAAAAAGGATGTCTATACCTACCACACATTCTATCGTTTCACTAAAAACAATATTCTGACACCGCTGTCATTTTACGGGAAAATAGCGCGTGCCTTTTGTCCAGTGACATATATGCATTACGGGAGAAGTTTTGGTTCAATAAAATATCCAAGAAATGAGGAGGAGGGGCTTTTGTGATTTTGAAGATGTTTACTTTCTATTAATTTTTTTTTATTTTTAATTATAAGTTACTGACTAGCCGACCCGGCGAACTTCGTGTCGCCTCAAATATTAAATATATTTTTTACCTTTTAACTTCCTTTATCCTTGTTTATCCAGGTTTTTTATGGGATAAATCGGCAAACGAGCAGACGAATTACGCCCATTGACAGCCAGAGTTATGAGTGCGTTGCTGGCCTTTAGGGGATAAGGGTTGCGGATATTTAAGGATTGAGAAGGGATAGGGGAGGGATAGGGATTAGGCCTCCGGTAACCTCATTCACAAGGCGAAACACAACGCTGTTGTTTCACGCCGGTTTTCCGTGAGACCGTGGTATCACTCTGGTCGAGCCGACCCATTCGTGCCCACGAGGATATTATCTATTTTTAAAAGCTCTTTGAAGACATCCAGTGAATAATAAATAAATATATACGCTTTCCTATTTATGATATTAGTATTGATAATTATACCCGACACGGAAAAGCCGACGATTCGACCGGAGCGGTACCGCACTTTGGCCTCGAATAAAACTGCCGTGTAACAGTTTCGTTGTGGTTCACCGTGTAAGGTTACCGAAGGCCCCATACTTTCTCCCCGTCACCAATTTCCAAATAACAACAAAATATACCCTCAGAAGCTCAAGGGAAAATCATAAACTCAGAAAATAACCCCAAAAATATGTATTTTGTTTGAATATGTTATTTCATCAACGGAGATACATCATAAATCCAAATTTCAACTGTCTTGTGTCCAACGAATAACTATCACGTTTACGAGATACAGCTTGGTGACAGCCAGACGGACAACGGAATTTTAGTAACAATTTTTTCCGATTTTACTTTGGGTACTTTGGGTGAAAAAGAGCTAGTATTTCTAGGTCTTAGCGTTTTATCATCATCATCAGCCTATACCTAAATTCTCACTGCCGAAGGCCTCTTCTCACTCGGAGGAGGTTTGAGCATTAATCACCACGACACACACATAACTTTGAAATCGCCAATCCGCAAGTAAAGGTGGATTGGAGATTTCAACTTTTAATTGGTAATTATAAGTCTAGATTTCCTCACGATGTTTTCCTTCACCGTATGTCAGTGGTGGCTAAATAATCATAGAATGTAGGTAAGTACATATAACTCGGAAAAGGTCACATTAGTACTTGCCATGTTTTGAATCCCGACGGAGACGTCCTTATCTCCGGGCTACCACTTAAGCATTTTTTCTTTTACCATGCCTGTTTTATCATACATACTATATATATGTACATTATAATTTTGCGTATTTTTGTTTTTCTGTCTTTTTAACCTTTTTATTGTTTTTTTTTTGTTTTGTTACCAGCTTTCGTGTCTATTGCCGAATAAATGTACATATTTCTTTCTTTCTTTCTTTCATTTTATAGCGCCGTTTAATAGATTATGCATGTTGTGATAAATTATCATTACTCAGATAACGATACTAAACGTATTTATCGTTATTCTTGCCAACAAATCGCAGATATCGTAAATCGTAAAGAATTATTTCACTTTGATATTGATCGCCCAATATTTATCAATGCGAAGACTTCCATATGATTGGAACTGCATCATAATGCTGCTGATGTGTGATACTACGACCTGAATGCAGATCTCCTCAATAAACTTGACCGACTTCTGAATAACGCATTCGTATCGTTTTCAACCTGCGTTAATATTTTCATTTTTCTGCACATCGCTTGCAATTAAAGTGCCCATACGCAAGTATAAGGAGCAAAGGGCGCAAACCACTCTATAGGTATTTCAATTATATTTCTATTTGTCCTATTACTTCTAATACACATGCGCAAACCACAATAAGTATCTTTGCTCATCTAATAACCGTCTCCTCAACTGTCCAACTCATCACTAAAAATGTTTTCACTATTACTGCTTGTAAATAATATACATATATTATTATGTGTATACATATAAGTATAGTTCAGTGCATTTTTTATATTTTTGTAAAGGTTTATGGTAGACTAAGTAGAACTGGCTTTTTTTGTGAGAGGAAAATCATCAAATGTGCGGGAGTGTCAGACTCTTATTGACTAAAAACCCCCCTGTTCCTTCTCCTCCTCTGGGCCGAGGTCGCGGTGCCTCATTGAGCTTACCCCGCAACCCCGGTTAAACATCAGCCTTTTAGGGCCCCGTCTGTGGTGGTCTGTTGGCTCTTTGAGGCGCGCGCGGAACGCTACCCGCCGTACGCTCGGGCCTGCTTCTGGTCGGGCGGCGAGCTGCCCTTACTCGCCGACCGCAGGCCCGTGCTTACGGTGGCCGGAGATCGTCCCTTGATCCCCGACGCCCGTAGCACAGTAAAAATATCATATAATAGATATTATTACCTTGCCCGTAGTGTCGCCAGTTGCGGCTAGTAGAACTGGCTTGCTTCTAGCATCTGCCACTACTTAGATTGTCTCTGCATCACCGAAAGCTTGACTGGTGAAGAATGGTCATCGCATTATCAAGCCTTATGTACAGCGCTCGGTGCATGAAGTTAAATAAATAAATAATGCTTATGAAATATCGATTCGATTTAATTCGACTTTCATTCAATTTCAATAACACTTGTTTTAAATGGCGTTATATATCATCACATCTCATCTCTCGCAGCGATATATTATTGCTATTGCAACCCCGGCTTAACATCAGTCCTAATTGGCATTTGTCGCGGTTTAAAGACTCAACATCATTATTGAGGTGCGCGCGGAACGCTACGCGCCGTACGGGATCTGGTTCTGGTTCTGGCGAGCTACACTTACTTGCCGTCCGTGGACCTACGTTTACGGTGGCCTGAATTCGTCGAGCAATCCCTGATGCCCGGAGTGTCTTCTGCGACAGCTATAGAAGAGGATAGTTCCCTCTAAAACTCCGCGATTTTTGTTACATGCAAGACTACTTCGCAAAAATAAGAGATGGCTTCCCAGTTCCTCTTGCTTCGCACCACGGCGTCGAATAAAGCCGGGCATGAAAGGTCTCTTCTCTGAGGACACAGCGGTACTGCGAGTGGTTCTCACAGTCTTATACAATCTTGGCGTTTCTTCCCTCTGGATCGCTTTGGTTCGCTGTGCTCTTTATAAACATTTATGAAAACCTAAGGGTCGAGCGGACGGGCTGCGGGGTAAGCGCAATGAGGCACCGCGACCTCGGCCCAGAGCAGAGCAGGAGAAGGAACGGGGGGGTTTTTAGTCAGTAAGAGTCTGACACTCTCTCTCGCCTTACCCTGGGCGGGAGAAGTCATTGGATGATTTTACCCTGACAAAAAAAAAAAAAAAAAAAAAAAAAAAGGGTCGAGCGGACGCATCTGCAGAGCGGACGCGTCTGCAGAGCTAACGGTCTCAATTTGGGCAAATTCTTATTAGTTATTTAAGTATCAGGTTTTAGCTACAATATTCTTGAGTGCTATAGGTTATAAAACATCACGCTACGATCAAATGGAGCTGAACAGCCGGTGAAACCGCGCGAGAATAGCTAGTTCTCAATAATTTCAAAGAACTTATACTGGTGAAGCGTTGTGTAAATATGGTATTAGGTATGTGCCATTACTCTTTGTTTAGTCGAGTTTGGGCATTATTGGGTGAAGCCAATAAGGTACCGCGGCCTCGTCACAAAGCTGAAGGAACTGGGTAGTTTTTAGTCAATAACAGTCTGACACTCCCTCTCGCCTTACCTTCGGAGTAAGGTCACTTGATGTTAATCTCACAAAAAAGGTAGATACCTACGAGCCATTCCATAATGGCATAGTCTCCAGCCAGAAACAAAAAACGTGACGTAACAAAAAAATAAAATAAACCTCTGCCGTTTTAGAACAATTTATTTATAATATTTCAATTATTTATTCCTAATATCTTAAATTTATTGTCAAATCCTTACATATCAAATAAATAATGCTATGGTTTGACCAGAAAGTGTACATTTTCTGCAGATTCGGAGTGTGGTAATCCTATTCTTAATAAGTTAGGTTTTGTTGGAACTCCCAAAATATTGAAGGGCAAAATATACGTATTATGCTTTCGGATACGAAAGGACTTTCTGCCCTTGTAAGAGTTTTTAAATGAAATGAGAAAGACACTTGTGATAATGCTATTTTATCAAATGGGGTCCTTAAAATATTTTCTACTGAATAGAAGTCGTACGCAGGGAAGATCATCATTTCTGAAAAGGTAAAGAAACAGTTTGTTAGTTCGGTTTTGGATTATCTGATTAATTTTAGTGTGGGAGAGCCATGCTGCGGCTAGGGCTGCCAACTTTTTTTTAGCAGAAATAAAGTATATCTGATTTTAAAGGAAGTAAATAAAGAGTATGCATTTATAAAAAAGAGTATCATTTATTTTTATCTTTTATAAAGAAAATTTTTAGTACTTCTTGCGGCACATAACATATTTCATTATTTTTAAAGGTATTGAATGAGTCTAAACATTCTAACCCTCATTTTTTATTAAATTCAATTAAGCTCTGTTTCTCTATTCTCTTTCACTCTTTTGTAAAAAAGAGTATTTTTGCGTACTTTATTAGTGTAATAGATTATAGAGTACGACCACATGATATAGAGGACAATACTCTATTTTAAAGTACGGTTGGCAACCCTAGCTGCGGCACGAATGGGGGGGCTCGATCGAACTTTTAAAAAAAAATTGTCGTGAAGCTACACTTACGTTGTGTTTCGCCGTATGAGTGAGATTACCGGAGGCCCATTTCTTAAATCCCCTATCCTTAAATCCTTAATAACCCACAAATGACTTACAAGAAGCCGGCAAAGCACTTGTAGTAACTCCTTTGGTCAAGAATGTCCATGGGCGGCGCTGATTGCTTACCATCAGGTAATTCGTGTGTTCGTTGCCGACCTATTACATAAAAAATAAACAATAATAATATGCTATAGTTAGTAACGCACTTGTTATGCTTCTTTTGTTTGTGAAATGGCACCGTCAAATTGGACTGGTGAGCTCCAAGCTCTCTAAGAACTGATTTTTCAATAGTCAGATAAATGTTATATGAGGAATAAAATTGTTGCTATCACTGTCTTATACAAGCATTCTGACGCGACAGCATCATAATTATTCCCCAGATAACTTTTATCTAACCATTGAAAAATCAGCCCTAAATGTTTGGACGTTAGTTCTCTTACTTATTAGGTTTCTTTGGCTAAATATTACTATTTTTGCATAATGGAAGGAACTTTATAATGTAGCAAATCATTGAATTATGAAACTGAATAAAAAATTACTATGGAATTTTTTGATCATTCTTCTTCATATAAATCTTCACTTTGAAACGATCAAATAGGTATAGCTTCACTATACATAGGTCGGATCGAGAGACTAAAACTTTTTTAAATTCTCATATATACCTATTTATTTTCTTAAACGTTATATCGTGCTTGTGATGGTGTAAAGTTCTTGTGATGGTGTAGACTTAACTAAAAGTAGAGACTTTGCCCAAAGGCCGCTTGTCACTTTTTTTTCGCGACAAGCCTCAAGACGGTGGGATTTAAGCTCAGAAAGGATGAAGCTAGAAAAGGTGTATAGCTCCATCTCTCTTTCTCGCCCGAAAGATTCACGCTTTAACACGAGTACACGACATGATAGACGAACAGATCTCAGAAGAAGTATAAAAAAATTACGATCCTTTCTTTCATTTATATTTAGAAGCTTCATAATTCTTCATCGTCCTTTTAATAGTTGTTTTTTTTTACTTGCAATAAACTAGTGCTTGACTGCGATCCCACCTGGTGGTAAACAGTGATGCAATCGTGCAATCGTTGATGGTATGGCGCACTAGTTTATTAACAGCCTATTCACTCTAGCCTTGTAGACACCTAAATTGTATTCGGACGGAAAGACTGCAGCCGGCAAACTGTTCCAATCCCTCGATGTACGCGGTATAAATGACGAGGCAATTCGCTTAGTCCGGGCCGCAGGTGTCTCAACAACGTAAGGGTGGATAGGTACTGGCCGTACGCCGGATGTCCGAAGGTCCGAAGGTGTTACTGGGAAATTTTGAAATTTGTAATTTCGTCTTTGATTGAGGACTGCTGGGAAAGCTGAATTAAGCCAAAAGAAATGTCACTATAGCATATCTGATAGTACCTACCTACTAGCGGCCCGCCCCCGCTTCGCACATATGCAAAAATGAATACTGAATTTCGCCACTAGGTATCTAATGGATATTATTATACATATGGATATTATAGCTTTATAAAGCTTTTTCTTAAATCACTCTTTTAAAAACTGCATCAAAATCCGTTGCTAAAGGACAGAGAAAGCCCGACGTTTTGTACTATGTAGTGAATGTGATCGCCTTTTTAGACTTTCTTACCTTTACAGCTGTTCCAACGAATTTTGATGGGACATATGCCTTGGACCACCTTCTCTATAGCTGCCCTACCGGTGACGTAATAGTTACTAGAATTGTAAGTTTCTGATATTTTCCTGCAAAAAAAAAACAAATATTAATAAATATGTAGTTAAGGCAGAAAACGGAAAGTGACCCTAACTGAGTGCAAGCGTAAATGGCAAAGCATCACCCTCAAATTTTTGTAAAGATGGGATCTTTGGTTCATTCAAAATAATCCTTTGCTGCTCGCTCCTCACTCACTGTTAGCTTAGGAAGGAGGCTAAGGAAATAGGAAGCTAAGCAAAAAGAATATAGTTACAAGATTATAGTAGCAGTGCGTATCCTGTTCATTTAATATTTCGCTCGCCCTTCCAAATAAAATACTCGGTTCCCGGTGCGGTCGGGTCGTCCAACGAACGGCCCTGTGTAGCGTTACAGACAGGTCTAAATAGGCAAAAAATAATTAACATTTGAACTAAAAATGAAAGAAACGCTTACTTTAATATTTCACTAGTAACATTTAATCCAAATTCGCTTTTGGAGAACCCCATGAGACCTGGTGCGACGTATTTTTCGTTTCTTTTAAGAATCCAGTTTTGTGGGAGATCATTTAAGGACCTCAGAACTATCATATTCGTTTCTAAGGCCACACCACCATACTTGTTAAGAGTCAACATCTTAAGGATATCGGCTGTATGCTTCTCTGGGTAACTACTGTTCTTCAAACCATTCAGCAATAAGGACTGTACGAGAGTGCCATTCGAATATTTGGGTAAATGGATGCGCAATAATTTGATATTACGGAACCGTCGAAGTTTCTTTAAGGATTGTGACATGGTGTACTTTAAAGCTCTGTCTGTCTGTGAAATTGGTGAAGTAAATAGCACGTAGACGTTTCTGTTTGGATGAGCTCTGGCAGCGGCTTCAACTGCACACGCTTCCGTAGGTTTCAGAAATCCTTGAAGCGAAGTCACGTGGAAGTAAATTGAATCCTCTTTTGGAGTAAAGTTTAAGTCTTCTATAGAAGGAAACATTTCTTCCACGATTGTATGAACATTCCGCTGTTGCAAACTGTAGAGTTCTTTAAGGAAAATAAACAAACACAAGGAGCAACCCGCTTGAATCAAGCTTCGTTTTGTTTTCAACGATTTTATCATGTTTTAACAATAGTTAATACTTAGGTACCTAATGATTTAGGTATGTTGGAGAGACCGATTCTTCTTGGGCCCAGTCGTAAGAATTTGGATTATGCTTTTTGCGGTAACGTAATAAGTATTTCAATTCTAAGTATGCTAGCTATTTCGTTAAGATTAGAAACGTAACACCGTTTATAAACAACACGCGGCAATTTTCTCCGATAAAATAATTTTAGGTAGAATATTATCGTAGGTATTTCTTTAGCTATGATTCGGTGCACTGCTCACCGCGTTTTGATACCAACTAAACACATGCTGTCTGTTGAAAGGGAGGGGATGTATACAAACCAAATATTTCATCATTTTCTAAATATCGTCAAGTGTCTAGGTATTAGTGTTTTGCAAAACAAACGAATTGTAAATGTTAGAATTCTCGGTTCATTGTTTACTAAGATTTAATTAAGTTGGTCTAATCACTATAATCAGCGTTGTGTTTCGCCGTGTGAGTGAGGTTACCGGAGGCCCAATCCTTCCCCTCCCCAATCCAAATCCCTAATCCCCAAAAAGGTCGGCAGTAGGTTGTAATTGGGGTTTCTGGATCATGTCAGATCCAGAAACACCCAATTACAACCATCATTCATTCATTATTTTTCAATTATTCAGTTTCCTAAGCATGTATTCAGGCACAGATCCAGAAACACCCAATTACAACCATCATTCATTCATTACTTTTTCAATTATTCAGTTTCCTAGGCATGTATTCAGGCATTTTGTGCTAACTTCTTTATTCAAAAGAATGATCAAGTAGTGACTCCTATATATATATATAATTAGTTCGTTCATTCAACAACGTTTGATACTCGTATCAAATTCGAGCATATACTCGATTCGATACGATAGCCTAACGAAAATGGAATGCGCTTGCTATTATCATTTGCGCTGCCTTATATAGGTACCGAAGTAGTGCAATAACTATAGATTACATTTATAAGAATGAGATAGCAAGAAAATAAAAATACGTATGTTAATTTCAATTATTTTATTTTAAAGTACAATATACAAGTTTTAATATTTCATAGTCGATGCCTATTCATTAAAGTACCAGATACACATACTTATATTTTAAAGAATTAAACATTTATACATACGTAGTTATTACATAGTTGATTTTATTGTGTCTACACAATCAATACACAAATCTCTACTCTTGCTTTCAAAATCTTATACTCTTGGTTCGATGTCATCCTGAATTTTGGTAATTAATTCTTTCGTACTGGTGTATATATCATCGTATAATATAGTTTTTACAACATGTTGAACGCATACATCAGCCTCACAATTACACATCGGCTGTTCGGATTTTTGAAAACTGTCTACGTCGTAGATTTCTATTTTGATTATTTTTACCCCGCGAGTTACAGGCTTCTTAATATATTGAAAGAATGTTTGATCTGTTTTTGATCTCTTGCGAGCGAGACCCAGCGTCTTCTGTCCGGTGGTTTGTTGGACTGGTTGATTCATGGGTACGAAATTGAACAGATCCTCAGAGTCCTGAAATAACAATGCAATATACATATAATTTAATATAAGTAGATACACTATGACAAATGTTAAGATTGGAATAAAAGATTGTGTGGAAATACTTTATGCAGTAATGCTAATAACGTTGTTAATATCTACAATATTTAAATTGTTAGAGAATAATTATTATATTAAAGTAACACTTACCGACATTCCACAATTATAACACTTCACCAGCCGATGCAAAAATGAAATGAGTTTCAATTTGTTATACTCCCCAATATATATTTTTAAATTTCATATATTTTTTTTAATACATAGAGTTCAAAATCATATATTTTATGTCAGATGTTAATATCTACACAAATATGGTATGGTGAAACTGAAACCTCAGACATTCCGACGCCCATGATTTTTATTGTTTATCATAAATATATATCGATAAGATAATACTACTGTCCGTGTGTTCATGGTGATCGTTTTCATACATTTTATTCAGTTGATTTGACGGGCAAAATCATGGTATGTTAATAGTATATCAACGCTAATGAATTCGCAACGTAAGTTAAATTCTTTTAAGGAGACGGATCATGACAATGATCAATATTGACATACAACTATTATGGCCTGGTTTTACCTACAATTATTATAAAGTTATATTTTTTTGCTATAGACTATTTTTTAAAATAGTTTATGCTGGAATGAAACACAAGATTTACTTTAATTTAATGTATGTGCCTACTTAAGTGAGCATCAACATGTTTTATGTTTTCAAGCAATATCGTATTGACTCGATTAGAAAAAAACTGTGTGAAAATGGTTTCATAAAATAACATTACAAAAGACAACAGCATCCTTTGTTTGATGCAGTCTGGTAAAAAAATCATAGTAAGCTAAATTAGTGTTAGATTACAATATTGAAGACAATGTAAACTATCGTATTTGGGGTGAGTTATCTGACACAGCATTTTTTTACACGTGCCCTTTTCTATATTTGGTATACTATGACGTAGATTTATCACTATTTAAGAGGATAGCTGCTGAACTAAGACCACAAAGCATTTCTTCAAGAGCTACAAGCAAGAGCTGCCCTCATCAGTACCTACCTGGAAGCTTACCAGACCTTCTCTAAAATGTAAGTTATTTTGGTTTACATATTTATCTAATTTTAATATTTATTAATTCAACTATTCAGTAACTGTTCTATTTAATCATTAAACTTTTCAATAACTCTAGTATTCATTCATTCTATTCAATTATTCAGTAATTGTTCTATTTAATAATTACTCTTTTCAATAACTCTACTATTCAATCATTCTATTTTTCAACTATTAAGTTTTGATAAGCAATCTGTTATTTATCTATTATGATATTACTACTTGCACTTCCATGTTAAACATTCCACTTAAATATTTTCAACCAATATGTAGCTACTAGATAGCTTTATCATTAAGTTACTGCTATCACTTACTTATTAACCTTTATTTTTCAGGTCCAAGCAAATGGCTGACCAATTGTTCCCGTCATCTGATGAATCGATGGTTGACGCTTCAATAAAATCGAGCAAAAAGAAGCGAAAGATTCCTGAGAAGACGACAGACAACCAGCCTTCTACTTCAAAGAAGACGAAGGTGAAATCTACGGCGCGAGATCTCTTCGGCAGCGATAGCGACGATGACGAACTGGATCGTGGCACCGCTGATGGTAAAAAAATTGCACCTATTTACTCCTACATAACAAGGAGATTAGCGAATGGTTTCTCGCGACAAATAGATGAAGCTAAAACTGGGGGTTATTATGTTGAACTGAAAATATATAATACCGATGAAATTGAGCGGGTGCCCCCAGTCAATCGATGGCGGCATTCCGTTATAACTATTAAAAATAAAACCAATACGGATACTGAGTCCTGGAAGCTTCTAAATGCATTTATAAAGGAAACGAGAAAAGAATTTAAAAATCGCACTCCTACTTTTATAAGCTCGTATCAGTAGAATATGTGCCTAAGACTATCTCGATGTATTCCCCAGTAAATGTATAATCTTTATTTTTCTTTTTATAAAAATTAAACTGTATTGAATTAAGCCTATATTATCTTTTAACTGTATACTGTATTACTTTTAACTGTATACTGTATTACTTTTAACTGTATTGATTAAGTTCTTAGGATAATTGTGTATGTTCAATGTGGCTTATTTTGATTAATTAAATGTACCTATGCATATTAAGTATATCTATTCTTTTTTTACTTTTTATTTTCAGTGAAATCATCTTCTACCGTTTCACCGTCAAGATCTTATATAAATTGTGATAAATGTAAAATTGAGATACCTAGACATGAATACAGATATCATAAACGAACCAATATCCATAAATCGAATTGTTTGATAAAATCAGAGTTTGAACATATTGATATAATAGCTACAGCATTTAAAAATAGAATAATGACTTATCGCTTAAACCCGTCCATAGAAGACGAGTACCTCCTACCAGAGGCGTTCTTGGATGGTAAGCGAGATGATGTTTTTAAACTAGTTGAGCTATCATTAATAAAGAATACATGTATTAAAGTTAACTTTGAGCTGTTTGCTTATTTCATTTTACCTAAATCAGGTGAGCAACAGCTAAAGTCGTTTAATACAAAATATGAAGTTATTTATAAAAGTACTGATTTTGATGAAATTTATTTGAATGTAAGAGAGACTTTCAAGATGAAATTAACTGAATTTGAGCACTGTGAATCTGGGTGGTCTTTAACATCGTTGAGTCATTTAGAAATAAATATAAATAAGTATTCTCCTATGAGAGGTGGGTCTTACATAGAATTACCAGAAGTTATTAAGAAAACAAAGAGCTGTATTAATATACAAAATAACGATGAATATTGTTTTTTATGGAGCATATTAGCAGCATTATTTCCAGTCAAAAATAATGTCTGTAGGACAAGCTCTTATCCTCATTTTAGTACGATATTTAATATAACAGGGATGTCATTCCCGCCATCACCTAAAGATATCAGATTATTTGAAAGTAATAACAGTGATTTAAGTATTAATATTTATGGATTGGATAAACATTTCAATGTAACTGGCCCCCTATATGTGACAAATTTTAGGAGAGATAAACATATTAATTTATTGTATTACGAAAAAGAAAACAGAGCTCATTATTGTTTAATAAAAAACCTATTACGCTTAGTGAGACGCCAAGTTTCAAAACATAAAGGTCGAATGTATTTCTGTGAGACATGTTTGCAATTTTTTACTAGTGAAACAAAATTCCATTCTCATGCGTGTTCTAAAATTATAACTTTATTACCAGATAAAAACAGTATGCTGCAGTTTAAACATTTTGAGAGACAACAAAAAATTTACTTTGTTATATATGCTGATTTTGAAAGCCTATTATGCAATTTTAATGAAGTGAATACTGATAGAAATACTATAAAAAATAAGTTACACCAGCCTTCATGTTTTGCATACTATGTGTGTTGCTCACATGACAGTAATTTAAATAAATTTGTTTCTTACCGAGGGCCAGACTGTGTACAAGTTTTTGTAAAAAAAATCATTGAAGAAACTAAATCGATACATGAGATCTTGACTACTGAAAAAACCATGAAACCAATGACTCCAGAACAAATTGATAATTATCGCAGTGCAAGTACATGTCATATTTGTAAAAAAATATTGTTTGATGACAAAGTTCGAGATCATGATCATATTACATCAGAGTATAGAGGCGCAGCACATTCACACTGTAATTTAATTTATAGAGTTTGTCCATTTATACCAGTCGTATTTCATAATCTATCTGGTTATGATTCCCATTTGTTTATCAGAGAATTAGCGAAATATGATGGCGAAATAAAAATAATTCCTAAGACAAAAGAAAAATATTTAAGTATTACAAAAATTATTGAAACCAGCAAATATAATAAGCCACTGCAGATTAAATTCATAGATTCCTTTCAGTTTCTTAACACAAGTCTTGACAATTTAAGTAAAAGCTTAGAAAGCAGTGATTTCTTGAATTTGAGATCAGTATTTCCTGACGACGAAAAATTTTGTTTAATTCGAAGGAAAGGTGTTTATCCATACGAATATATAGATTCATGGCAGAAATATAATGAGACACAACTTCCCCCGAAACATTGTTTTTATAATAGTATGCAAAAGAAACATATAACAGAAAGCGAGTATAAACATGCACAAACTATTTGGAGTTGCTTTAATATTACCAGTCTTGGCGACTATACTGATTTATATTTAAAGTGTGATGTTTTATTATTATGTGATATTTTTGAAAATTTTAGAAATATATGTCTACAGCACTATAATCTTGATCCTGCATATTATGTAAGTTCTCCTGGTTTAAGTTGGGATGCTATGCTTCTTTACACGGGTATTCAACTGGAATTGATTCATGATTTAGAAATGTATAATATGATAGAAAAAGGAATTCGCGGTGGATTAGCACAATGCTCTCATCGATATGCTAAAGCAAATAATATTTACCTCCCTCATTTTGATGATTCAAAACCGTCAACATATTTAGTATATCTTGACTGCAACAATCTTTATGGACATGCTATGACTAGAAAATTACCTATATCAGATTTTAAATTTATGACAAGCCAGGAAATAGTAAGTTTTCGTCTGTTGGATATTCCTGACGATGCTGAGTACGGTTATATTTTGGAAGTAGATCTAATGTATCCTGAATATTTACATAATTTACATAGCGACCTGCCTTTCGCTCCAGAAAAATTCATACCCATAGGAGGAAAGACAGAAAAGTTAATTGCGAATTTGTATGACAAGTATAACTATGTTATACATTACATTCATTTGAAAGAATGTATTAAAAATGGCCTTGTGTTGAAAAAAATCCATCGCATACTTCAATTTAAACAAGAAAACTTTTTAAAAAAGTATATAGACTTAAATACTCAATTGCGTCAATCAGCAAAGACCTCTTTTGAAAAGGATTTCTTTAAACTTTTGAACAATTCAATATTTGGAAAAACTATAGAAAATAAAAGAAAGCAAATTCATGTTAAATTGGTAACTAAATGGAATGATAATAAAAATAGAACAAATAAAACTATAGGCGCAGAGAAACTAATTGCAAAACCAAACTTGAAAAGTATTTGTATTTTTAGCGAAGATTTTCTAGCAATTCAATTGACTCCCGACAAACTTGTTTTAGATAGACCTATCTATGTTGGATTCTCTGTACTAGAATATGCTAAACAACATATGTATAATTTTCATTATGATTTCATTAAAAAGAAATACGGTGACAATGTTAAACTGTGTTACACGGACACTGACAGCTTATTATACTTAATACATACACAAAACTTTTATAAGGATTTGAATGAAAACATTATAAAGTTTGATACCAGCAATTTTGATTTTAATAATCCTTACAGTATTCCAAAGATAAATAATAAAATTCCTGGCTTGTTTAAAGATGAATTAGGTGGCGATGTCATAAGCGAATTTACAGGTTTAAGAGCAAAACTTTATTGTATTAAATCAATAAAAACACAGATTAACAAAGCTAAAGGAGTATCAAGGCCCATTACAAAAAAATTGAAAATATCTAACTATAAGAGAGTTTTATTTAAGAATATTACTTTACAATGTAAGATGAATATGATAAAGTCAAGCAAACATGTTTTATATTCACAGGAAGTAAATAAAGTAATTTTAAATAGAGTAGATGACAAAAGAATTGTTCAAACCAATCAAATAGACACATTACCATGGGGTCATTTTGACCACATATGTTAGACTGTTAGTATTAAGCTATGTCATAGATTTAAACCGTTATATTTTAAAATATACCTACTATTAGTATTAGTTTAGTTGTACAATTTATAATTATATTACTTATTTTTTCTAAGCGTAATAAAATACATAATATTTTACTCAGAATTTGACTTTTATTTATAGTCTTATCTGTATCGCCTTTCCTGAATTTTGTTTTTGTTTTAAAGTAAAATGTAAGACTTTGCAGAGGTATATATTGGTATGCTCAATGGCAATAATATTAATACGTAAGATGAAGTTGATCAAGCAGCCCATATCCTTGAATGTTAATAATATAAATTTTAGTGACTCTCCTCATTACATCAGGCACAGCCCTTTATTACCGAATACAATTCGTTGTATAATATGCGGGCCATCCAACTGTGGTAAAACAAATGTTGTCATCAGTTTATTGCTACATGAAAATGGACTGAAATTTAAAAATTTATATCTTTACTCTAAAACTTCTTTTCAACCAAAATATCGCTTTTTGAGCGAAGTGATTAGAAAGGTGCCACAGATAAAATTCTACGAGTTTAACGATGATAAAGATGTCATGGCTCCGAGTGAAGCTTTTAAAAATTCTGTTTTTATTTTTGATGACGTTGCAACTGAGAATCAAACAAATATCCGTAATTATTTCTGCATGGGTCGACATAAACAAATCGATTGTTTTTATTTATCTCAAACCTATTCAAAAATTCCGAAGCAATTGTTACGTGATAACGCTAATTTTCTTATAATATTTAAACAAGATGACGTGAACTTAAAACATATTTATGTGGAACATGTCAGCCCTGATTTAAGCTGGAACCAATTTAAAGATATTTGTAAAACAGTTTGGAGTAATCCTTACAATTTCGTGCTCATTAACAAAGAATGTTCATTAAGTAATGGGAGGTACAGAAAAAATTTTGATATATTTTTTGAATTTAATGAAAGTTAATTACTTATATAATTATGAATAACATACAAAAAAAATAGTATTTGTTAATCTTTAAGCGAATACGGTCGTTGAACATAAGATGGAGAAAAATATTAAAATTGAATTAATGAAGTCTGTAGACTCCATAAAGAATAAAATAAAACAAATGAAAAACCAGGAACACTCAATGAATTTGTCACTTGATAAAATGTTTAAACCTGTCACAGATCCCCTTAAAACCCTAGTTGAT